TAGAAACTAAAGGATGATGCATCGAATGATTGGTGGTTAAAAATAAAAAAAATATTCTCAGTAGACTATATCGCACTGGAAAAAATCAAAATCTAGATAAGTTATTTTTTTCTTAAAATAAGTGCATTTGTTCTTGGATTGATGAGGCAAAAGAGACATTTAAAATAAGAAAACACAATTGCATTCTAATTTCAAGTTCTAATTATCTAATTGTCTTATTTTAAGAGTAAAAATACTAATTCCATTGGCAAACTATCTCATTTACTTGCTCAAATTAAGGGTAAATACACTTAATTTAGGAGATTTTTACGGTACTTATTTCTACATAGTTTTTCCAGTGCACCCTGTACTCTGTAAACGCATTCCAGCCAACATCAGGGCGGCTTTTTCACAGAAGGAAGGCGGTATTATGGGAAATCTCCTTCATCTGTGAATCAAGGCATCGAGTCCCTGTAGCACCACCTCTAGATTCAAATGGGATGTTCTTCTGATACCTAATGGTAACGGTTCTGTTGCCATGACTGACTGACCAACCAATAAACGGTTCTTAATGAATGAAGGCAGGTAACGTTTTGTCGTCCATGGCTTCATAAGACCATTTTCCATCCGTCAAATGAGTGCAGGGTGAGGCAGATGCCTGATGGACGTCAGCTCATAGAGTTCTTTCTGTCGTTGTTCTTCCTGTTCAGCCTGGTACAAAAAACATGAACTTGTACTGCAAGGTGGGTCTGCCATAAATAGAGTTGATGACACTATCAGATAGGGGTGCAATGATTATTTTGCTAATCGATTCATGTGTTGATTGATTAATATTCAGATAACAAAAGGTTCCTTCATTAAAGAAGAGTTTTTACAGGATTAAACCAGATAAAACTCAAACTTTTCCACTGGTGGAGTTCTGGATAGAGCATTCTCTTGATGAATGAAAAATGTTGATATAAATCTTTACAATTTTCTTACAATTCCTGCTCTAAGTGGGTCGTTCTGTCTGTTTCAAATAATAGCATTACAAATTAATATGCAAGGGAACAAATTATACTTTGGGGTTTAATGGAGAGTATTATTAAAGGTAGCACTGCATTAAAACTGGTGCAACAGGAAATAACTTTTACATTACACTTATTGCTGTAGATATTAAGTATAAGTATTGTTTTTAAGAGTTTTCAAAGGGTATTAAGTAGGGCTGCAACTAACAATTATTTTGCAAATAGATTAATCTGTTGATTGTTTTCAAGATTAATCGATTAATAATCGGATAGCAGAAGGTTCCTTCCTTAAAGAAGATATTTTACAGGATTAAACCAGGTCAAACTAAAACTTTTCAACTGGTGGAGTTCTGGATAGAGCATTCCGAATGATCCTAAATGCCAAATGTTGATATAAATATTTACAATTTTTTTTTACAATTCCTGCTCTACGTGGGTTGTTCTGTCAGCTGAAGGCACATTTTGAGTATTCTTGCTTTAGAGTAAAAACGATGTTATAACCCTTTATAACCTTGCTAAATGAGTGTAATTAGAGCTAGTTAGAGATAAAAGAGTTACATAGAGTAGAAGAGCTGAAGAAGTGTAAATAAAAGCATAATAAATTCATTATCCTGCCTTTCCATTTTGTTTTATTTAAAGTTCTCCCTTATATTAAACAAAGATGGCCCTTTAAATACTACTATCGGCCAATAGGGAGCAATCTCGCGGTGTTTAAATGTCGAGCAGATTGTACCACCATTACAACAGGTGTATTCTAAACACCTTCTGTTGAATATATTGTGTTTCTAAAGTCTAAACCCTTGTTATTAAGCAGAAATATTTAAAACACGTCATATTAAAGGATTTTTCTCACAGATATATAACATGAAGACAACATTTTGGGGAAAAAACGAAAGTCTGATTTTCCCACTTACCCCTCCATGTAGGACTTGAGCCATCCCCGTGTCAAAGTTGACCGGTTGGCTTGTCATGTCTTTGTTGCTTCTTTAGCGCCGCTGGAACTGTGAATCAAAGTGAGGATTTGATGGAAAATAAGCTCATATTGCCATAAGAGAAAAACGCTGAAACCTTACCCTGATAAGGTATGTTAACGTTCACAGATAGTAATCAAATGTAGAGTTTATTTCGTGTTTTCTCTCAGTAAAGCTAAACCATTTATCCATGCTAGGGCAGGAGAGCAGCTAGCTGTTGGCTAGCATTAGCTGAATTTGTAGCACTAGTAAACAGCAACTAAACATGTTTTTGACGGGAAAACCGCTCAATAATTGCCAGGAATATGTTTCAAACCAACATCAGCAAAGCTAAACAGAAACAATTGTTGGTCTTTTTTCAATAATTATGGTGTTTAAGGAGAAATACACTAACTACATCTCCTTTGTTTTCAATGAAATGGTAGGAAAGAGTAACATGAACAAAACAGCTGGTTGACAGTAATGTGATGCTGCATCGCCATTGTTTGTCTTTTTAGTTTTCCTTGTTTCCATGAACGCTAGCACATGCATTCACTTTCATACCCTTCCCTAGATTTGTATGCTAAACAACCTGTACAGCCAGCAGCTATGTTCCCTCAACATGCATGTTGATTTATTTGATAAAGTCCAAAGACCCTAAAGATGGAAGAAAGGCTGAATGGATCTCTGCCTGTTGTCTCCCCGGAGTATCTTCATCAGTGGTGAGTCTTCCTCCTCACCAGTATAGCCAGGAAGTGATCTCTCTCTATCTGTGTACAAAATGTCTTCATGAAAAGGAAATGAAAGCATGTGCAATTTCATCTCCCTTTTGCTTTTTTCCACTATCATTATCATTCAGGATACTATATTATTAACAATTTACATCAATGATGTCTTTTTTTTTTTTTTGCACACATTAGAAAGTATTCAGGGGCAATCATTTTATTTTTATCTCCTTATAATGATAAATAATTAATGGAAAAAAATGTCCTTTTATTTTAAGGATAAAGTTGTTCAACAACACTTTCATGCCTGCAACAGAAAACCTCCAGCATGGTTTCCATTTTTGTATCATATTGTTTAAAAAAAGTTAAATTTTAACACTAATACTGTTAAGTAAATTCACAGTTGTGATTCTCTGTGAGGAAGTTTATGCTCCGTCTTTATGTTAAAATAGCTAAAAGGTGGTTTCTGCCCCAAAGAGATAAAATTCGGGACTTGTATGTCCTCTTTTTTTTTTGTCCAATGGGACATTTTATAGAGAAAATATACTCAGACTCTAGTCTAAACTCACGGTTACTTCTGGGCTCATAATTACTCTATTTTTGCTTTCTCCATTATGTGGCATTTTTCACTTTGGTTTTTTTTTTGGACACCGAATGATGTTAGATTGTTTGCATCTTTTAAAGTGCACCTTCTAAATAGGCTGTTCTCCCTCACCGGATGTTGTACCAGATCAGTGCCAGTTTTTTATGTTTTGGTTTTGAACACCAATCTAAAGAAAGAGGCATTGATTATAGCTCCTTGTCACCTGCATTGTAAAATCTCACGGAAAGTTTCTTCGTTTTGCACAGCAATAAAGTCCGGTAGAAAAAAAAAAAAAAAAAAAAAAATTATATTTAAACTCCTCTGAGCTTTGATTTATATCAACCCTCTTTTTAATTCCTAAATTATGACAAATAGAAAGCATTGTTTGTTCATTTGTCATTGCGCTTAGACTTCCCTTAATGCTCTTTATACCGATCTAGAAAGATTAAAAATTTTGAACCTGCAAACTTAATCAGAGCACAGCTGCAAAACTTCAAGGTAAATTTTGGGAACACACTTTTAACTACCTGCAGGCTTTCAACTAGCAATGAGTACGGGTGTACATGGTACTCCCTGTTTTTAATATGTACAACTTTGGTACGCTCTAATTTTCCCCTGGAAACTTCGCTCAAATGTTAAAAATTTCACAGGCAGCAGATGCTGGAGTTGGAAAAGTTGAACTTTTCCTGCTGACGCGCCACATCAACCAATCACAGAAGCTGGTCTGGGAGCTGGCAGGGAGACAGACACAGCACTGCTGATGCAGAGCGCTATGATCACTCCTCTGAAACAGTTTATTAACGCCTAAATTAACTTAAAATTTCGAAACCTGCCGGCAAAATTAGTTCGCTTTTCTTATCCTGCTGCCTGTAGTTTGTAGCACAGACCTGAAAAACGCTAACATCTACTTCCAGCCGCCATCAACAGTAGGGGAAAACCCCCAAGAGGCGAGCGGGCCTGAGGCAGCTGCTACTGGGGATTCCCAGTGACAGCGCACCGCCGGTATGTGGGGGTCTGAGCGGCTCCCACAGAGAAATAATCTTTGAAGGCAGGATGGTAATCTGGATGAACTGACTGCACAGACCATGTTTTCAGGAGGACTTTCTCACTTCAAAATAGATTCAAACTACTTTTTACCCGCTGATCACAGCAAATATAGGAGCAGCAGAAGCATCAGACGCATCTTGACACACTTTACTGGACGCCTGACGTTAATGTGGACAAGCAGCAGAAATGAAGCAGCAGAAGCTTTTATGCTGCTCAAGTCGCGGTGTGAACGTAGCATTAGACTTTCTGATAGCTTGAATGAACCTACAAAACATAATGTTGTAACTAAAAATTATCTCATGTCTTCCTTATGAAATTTCCACCTCTAGTCAAGCACACATATTTCCAATAATCTGGACAACAGAAGTGGTGGAACAAAGACAAAAAGTTAGCTGCATTCCACCTCAAAATGCAGGAATTAGCGTTTCACAGTCTGAATTTCAAAATTTTCTGGGGATAATACCCCCAGATGGCGTAGGGCCATGCAAAGCATTGGATGCACCAAGGTGGACACCCTGTGAAATATTCCTAAAAGCCTGACTACCCGTATTGAGCTAAAGGGCTCAGTATAGCCAGACTTGCATTTATTAGTTTTAGCTTTCAACCAAAAACTCTGCTGTTCTTAGCCTTCAAAGCCAAGCCCAGAATTACCAGGTGGTTTCTCTTAAAAGGCTAAAAAATGGTTTGATTTTTTTATCTTGTGCTGCCTGGGAAACCAGTTGAATGCCTCCAAAATATTAGTTTACACTGATTAACAAAATATTAACTTAAATTATCTTTGAAACTAGGATGCTTGATATTAACACAATTTATAGAATTCATTTGTTATTTAGATATATTCTCCCATGCTTAAATATTTTCTGTAGCGGTCTTTCTTTCCCTCCGTCATCTAATGTCAGGTTCTTGTTGCTTCACAATGTTTTATTTTTGTTTTCTGCTGCAGGGTTCGGTCCGCCCAGCAGTTTCAAGCTCTCCAGTCCCAGTACGCCAACTTCAACCCTCAACATCAGTTTCACTACCCAGAGAATCCGACTGCAGAGGCAGCGGCAGCACACATGGCCGCCCCAGAACCCGCGATGCAGCAGATGGAACCTGCTGACCTGACCAAACGTACAGGGGACATTCTGAAATAACATGGTAGACTAATGTTAATAATCAATCAAGTTCTTAAAAATGTCTGTTTTCCTTAAAGCTCCAGCTAAAAAAAGAGGTAGACCAGCCCAACCCAAGGAACCAGGTGCACCAAAACCCCCAAAGGTCCCCAAAGCACCAAAACAACCAAAACCACCTAAGGACCCGAATGCACCTAAAGCTAAACCAGGTCCAAAACCCAAAAAGGCTGCTGAAGCTCAGGGGGATGGGAAGCAGGAGAAGATTGATGAGAGCTTCAAGAAGGTAAAGAGGAAAGTGGACCGCTTCAAAGGGATGTCGGAGGAGGAAGTCATGAAGAAGACACTACCCGACCTGCTGGATTACAACCTGGATTATGTCATTGTAAGCTCGTTTTTTTATTTGATTATCCGTTAGGAAAAAGTTATTTAAAAGGAATAATTTTTTATTTTTTTTATTTTTTGCAGATTGGTATAAATCCAGGACTGATGGCAGCTTTTATTGGCCGATGGTTTCCAGGTCCTGGAAATCATTTCTGTGAGTTAAAATTCTTCAGTTATGTTTAAATTTAAATTTGCTGCTTCTTGTCCAAGACTCCCTTAAAAAAGAGGTTTTTAATGTCAATGGGATTTTTTTTCCCCCAGGTTAAATAAAAATAATAAAAAAATGGGCAAAAGTAAATCAACATGCCAGTACTGCCATCATAATCCTCTTTCCAATGTTACCCATGCTTTCTAAAATATTAAACAAGATATTGACCAAGAGCAACACTAGTTTTAATTTAGGTTGTTTTTTAGAGCATCTGCCTGTAGTTTTCTCACTGAGGTTAAGCTTTTATTGGCAAAAATATTCAGTTCCAAAACATTTTGCTGTTGCAATTTATTTTTTATTTTTAATGCCACTTGTAAATGATTTTATTGGACCAATGTCATTTTTTTTTTTTATATCAAACTAAACATGGTCCGCATCCTTTTTGTTTATCCAAAGGGAAATGCTTGTTTCTGTCCGGATTTACAGAGGAGCAACTTAACCACATGCATGACACAACGCTGCCTGTCAAATACAAAATGGGCTTTACCAATATGGTAGCCAGGGCCACACCTGGGAGCAAAGACCTCTCAAGGTAGGCGTCTAAACTGGTGACAAAAACAAAGCTGTAGTGGACAGCTTAAGGAAAAAAAAGTGATGACTTAAATGTTTCATTATAGTTGTTTTATTAATACTTTTGCTTTTTTTTTCACCAGTAAGGAATTGCGAGAAGGAGGAAAAATTCTTGTGGAGAAGTTAAAGAAGTACAAACCCCTCATAGCTGTGTTCAATGGGAAATGTAAGCCTTTCCCAACCTTTTTCTAACATTCAGAGGGAAACTATTCAGTCATTGATCCCATTTCTTTTTGCAGGTATCTATGAAATGTTCTGCAGGGAACTGTTTGGCAAAAAACCCCAGAAGCTCGAGTTTGGTTTACAGCCGCACAAGATCCCTGAATGTGACGTGGTGAGAACAGAAATCTGTTTTTCTTTTTCATTCCCAGACTTAAGGTGAATAGAAAAACCGGAGAGGAAAACCTGAACCAAGTGTGTTAGCTTTTCTACTGCTGGAGCCTTTCTACAAAATTATCACTAGGGGTGTAAATCACACCCATCATGGCGATTCGATTCAGTATCGATTTCCTGACCCTACGATTCGATTATTTTCGATACTCAAGAATACACCACGATACAATTCGATTTGATAAATTGTTTTTTTACACCTTACAGGCTAGACAATGTTTCAAATTTGAAATAAATCAATGAAAGCTGTAATATCGTTATGCATTTTTTTTGAGAAACAACAGCAAATAACAGAAGTAAAAAAGTTGCATCAACAAATACTGCAAAAATCCAGCACAAAATCAGTGCAATGAGTGCAATGCAATGCTCCAGACGTCCCCGCCCCCTCCACAGACACTCCGCTGCTCCTCTCCCAAATTGCCGCAGACAGGAGGCCAGCTTGTTTTGTTTTTATGACTGAAATTGTGGAAAACAACTCGTGAAGTTTGACCAGCTAGAAGACCGAGGTGCACGAGAACGCTGGGACCCTTTTTCCACCTGGATCTCCATTCTTTTTGACCCTCATGTCCCTCCGTCGTCGGACTAAACTCGCCCCCACTTCCTCACCGCCTTGGCCGTATCTAGACCCACAGCGTGTAGCACAGACCACGCTTCAATATTGATTATAATTTAAAAATGTCTGTGTCAAGCTTACTGCAAAACACTGCTGTGAGAGTATAACCAGGAAGCGAGGTAGGAGGGCAAAATAGGTTTAGCGCCACCGCAGCACGGGAGGAGAATTACGCCCAGGAGCAAATGGATAAAAATAGACCGGAGGAAAAAAAAAAACATGAATCGATTCTCTTGCGGATGTATCGATGCATCGGATCGTCGGCTGTTGGATCGATACAAAACAATTATTATTTACACCCCTAATTATCACCACGAGTAACGATGAGCCTGAGGAGTTTTTTGCCCACTTTGCTTTTTGATGTGTCGGGGTAAAGAAGGCTGTAAATCCAAATTCTTTTATTTCTCAGCTATAGTTTCATTGTGTTTGGTATAAGTAATACCAAAATAAAAATACCTGAAGGCTTTAATTTTAGGACAAAATGCAGAAAAGATCAAGGACTTTAAAAAGTTAGCCACCTATAGTGTGGCTTTTAATGCCATAAGCATGGTCTAAATATTAAATACATAAAACCAATTCCCAATAGACCTTTCTTTATTTTTTTGTTGCAAAAAATACAAATGAAAAAAACATCACTGCAGCCAGTTTTAAACATTTGTTGAACTTCAAATTTTCTCTGCAATATATATTCAACCATAAAGATTCTGATGACGTTTTGTTTGTTCATAGAATTTATTATCATTCAGGACCAGTGGCGGCTGGTGGAGTTTTCTCCAGGGGGGCTACAAGTTCAAAATAGACATGTACCAAAAACCAATCAAATGTATATGAAGTTATCACACCAGTACATTTACATGAAGACCAAAAAACAACATTATAACATTTTCTGAAAAGGGCTTTAAATCAGTCCTAGCTGTCTTCATCCATGCTGGGTCAGATCCTTACGTTTGAAAACGGAGGCAGGGAAAGCAGAATAAAGTTTTAGCCTCGCTGCTTGCAGTTAGCCAAGCCTTGGAGCTAAATAATTCTATAAACCTGTCAACCAGCCACAGTTTCTAACAGACGACTGTGACGTCAATGCTGTGGCAGGAGGTGGTGTGCAAATAAATGTACTTTCAGCTCTGGGCGCAGGAGAGCTACTCCCCAGGATGCTCCTATCTTTAGCAGTGAAGAGGAGCTGCTGCACATGGACAACTTTTAACCAGAGTCTAACCCCTTGCTCACACTGGCTCCGGTGCGGTTACCGAGCCGACGGAGACCGCAACTCCCGCACACCCCCTCTCACACCGCCCTTTTGACTACGGTGCGGTGCGGCTCTGCGGCTCCGGCAACAGGTCCGGAGATTTAACAGAAGTTCACTTGAGTTCACGTAACTTCACGCGATAACACGGCCCAAATAAGGATATTTGCGAGAGCTTGTTGCGGAGGGCTCCGGCACGCTGCAAGGATAGCTTTCTTGCGGAATTTTCTGCAGCGCCGGAGTGTCTCGGTAACCGCAGCCGGACAGCTCAGCAGCCGGTGAGAGAGGTTTACGTCTTTTTAATGACTTGGAATCACTGCGGCGCCGCACCCACCGCACCGCAATGGTAAGACCGGAGTCGGTGTGAGCCTGGGGTAAAGGCAAAGATTTCTGCTCCCCAGGCTGGAAACACATCATAATAAACTACACAGCTTTACTTGTCGTTAAATATTAAATATTTATCTTGGCACATCTGAAAAATATATTAATATATTTGGAAATATTTTAATTTTATAAGTGAATTTTATTTAGTTTTAATGAAGGCAAGGTAGCTTTATTTGTATAGCACATTTCAGCAACAGGGCAATTCAAAGTGCTTTACATAAAATCTGTTAAAAAATAAATAAAACACAGAAGAAACAGTTAAAAATAAAAACAAGATAAAACACAAGAATAAAAATTACAGTGCAGTATAAGAGATTAAACAGTAAAGAAATGAGCGTCATTTAGAGAAGGGCAACATCAAAAAGAAAGGTCTTCAGCATTGATTTAAAAGAACTGAGAGTAACAGACGACCTGCAGGTTTCTGGGGTTTATTACGGATCTGAGGACCATAGAAACTGAAAACTGCTTCCCTCTGTTTAGCTCTGACCCTAGGAACAGAAAGTAGACCTGTCCCAGATGACTTGAGAGGTCTGGGGGGGTCATAGTGTACTAGCAGAAATGTATTTTGGCCCTAAACCGTTTAGCAATTTATAAACTAGCAAAAGTACTTTGAAATCAATTCTTTGAGATTCTTTGACAATTCTTTTGATGTGATCCAGTCTCTTGGTCTTAGTGAGGACTCGAGCAGCAGCGATCTGAATCAGCTGCAGCTGATGTAGATCGTTGGTTGAGTGGTGCTGCGCCCTAGCGCCCTCTATTGGCCTGCTGCCACTGCTCATGTCTATACAAACTATTTACTGCTGTAGCCAAGTGCTAATGTCTTCCAGCTACAGCTGTTTCAACAGTAAATGCATGGAAAGATGCCTTTTTTAATTATGAAGATTAGGGCTGATATATTTAATCGGATTAATCAATTTTGGAAATAATCATCAACTAATTTAGTAATGAATTAATCATTAACTGGGGTAAAGAGACTCTAAAACATTCCTTTAGCTCACAATGCCATCCACCTAGAGCAGTAATTATACCAAGATTGTAAAAAAAATATGTAAACATTTTTGCATTTAGGATAAAAATCTTTTTCGTCTGTCAGTCTGCTCTATGCAGAACTCCTCAAGTGGAAAAGCTTCAGTTTCTCCTGGTTTGCTTTTTAAAAACTCTTTTACCTTTGACTATACAATTATTAATTTAAAGAAATAATCAACAGATTAATCAATTTGCAAAATAATCTAAATACTCTATTGGCAGGTTAAGTTTTATTCATCTGTTTCTAAATTGATGAATGCTTTTTGTTGCCCCTGCAGGCCTTGTACCTGATGCCTTCCTCCAGTGCTCGTTGTGCCCAGTTTCCTCGCGCTCAGGACAAGGTTCACTTCTACATCAAACTGAGGGAGCTCAGAGATCAGCTGAAGGGTGTCCGAAAAGCAGCTGAGATTGAGGAGATCAACTACACGTTTGATCTTCAGTTAGCTAAGGGTAAGGATGTGTATGAATGAACTAATGTGAGTCAGCAGGGAAGCTATTTTTAGGAGATTGATAGCTAACAGCGTTCAGTTAATTCTTTCGTTATGTCAAACCAACAGAGGACGCTAAGAGGTTAGCAATAAAGGAGGAGCAGTATGATCCTGGATATGAAGATGCCTACGGTGGAGCGTATGTAGAGAAAGGAGCTGAAGAAAGCCAGGCTGGGAGCCAAACCAACGGTCACTGTACGTTCACATCTACTGCAAACTCAGGTAACCAACAATGTCCTGTTTTTTTCCTGAAAACAGGAATTAAAAAAAAATCTCAATGTGTCTTTTATTTTCTTGATTCCTGTCTAGAGTTTGCTGTAGATTTCTTTTTTGTGTATTACATTTAATCATTTGGTGCCATGCTTGTTTTGTGGTCCATCCTTAGAAGGAGCCCAAATGGCGAGCACATCCCAAACGGAGGGTCAGCTCCCAGACGGACAGTGGATGAGCCAGTCGTTCGCAGATCAGATTCCTAACATAAGCGGCGGACCAAAAGATGGCAGCATGTGAGAAGGATTAGGAAAGTCTGCTGCAACGGCGTATGAGGGCCATTTAACGATTAAAAACAAAAATTGGAATTTAAAGGTTTGAGTTTAAAGTGGCATATTTATGAGAATAAATACACAAGTTTACCAGTAAAAACCCCACATTTATGAACTTGTATACATGCAAATTTAGAAGGAAACAAGTAGAAAATTAATGAGACTGAACCGCAAATTTAAAAGAAAAAAACACAATCATTTAACAGATTCTATTGTATCATTAATTTTTACTTTAAAAACTTCAATGAGGAGGCCATTGTACCATCTCATTCCATCGCTAAAGCTCCCCAATTAATGCAAGCACATGCAAATGCATCTTGCATTGTTCTGCATGTTTAAATATTGCAAATTAGCTAGTTTTGCTCCTATATTTGTGTTTTAATTTCATAAATTTGTTTTTTTACACGTTTGTTCTCATAAAAGAGCCACTTTAAACTCAAACGTAAATTCCATTTTTTCCCCATCTTTGAATGCCGCTCATATGGCGTCGTACTGAACAGCTCAGTCTTTAAATCTCAGTTAGTTTGTTTTTATATGTTTCTTTTATTTTTAGCAAAGTGGAATTTAAACACTTTTAGGAGTTCACTGAAACTGCAGGATGGTTTTCCTGCACATTTTATTTTTTGTTTTTCTACATTCATGATGGTCTTCACTGCAGTCTTTTTAAATATGTGAAATCAGGGACATGACTGGCTGTCTTTGAAGATGTTTTTTGTATTTAATCTGTACTGCACTGTGCTGCAGTTCAAATCAACGTTACGGTCTACTGTTTAACAGTAGATTAAACCTGTTTTCTTTAAGATTGATTTCTCTGTTAGGCTGTACAGTTTACAGATGATTGAATCATTCATGGTGCTATGAACTGATACGATGCAAAATGACGACTTTTTAGAAGCAGACCTGCTTCCACAACTGGACTTGTGACAAACCTTTCAATGTTACACGACTTAAAACATGTTATTATTCAGAAATTGTTTTTTTTCTTCTCTCTTTTAGAAGTTTTAGAGTTATGGTATTTGTTTAATAGGTGTTACTGTCATGGGAATTTATGAATTATTTCCAAATTAAATTGTTATCCTACTTCTCCATCACTTATTATAATGGGATTCCATTCATTGTGACACCATTTCATACCTACACTTAATACCCATACATTGCAATGGTTTCCTTTTCTGTTTCCATTAATTTAATCTAAAGATGATCCAAACCAAGGTGGAAGCAAACCAAGTTGCTGATCAGGTCCTAAAACACCAACCAGTGAACCTTTTTTCATAAAATACTATGACCTGATGATAATGACCAATAAAAGCATCCAGCAACAGAAGGCTGATCTGAGCTGAGGTCTTGTGGTCACACAGACATTTTGAGGAGCTGTTAAAAAATAAAATCTCTATATTTGTTTCAGTTTCTGATACTTTGTTGAGCCATTCATTTATGGTGGTCGGAGGGACTGGTGGCACCAGTGTACGGCAGCCTCGCGTGAGCCCCGGGGCAGCTTTGGCTGCTATGTAGCTTGCCACCATCAGTGTGCACTGCAAAACTATGTAGAAATAAGTAAACATTTCTTAAATAAAGTGTATTTAATCTTAATTTAAGTTGGTAAACAAGATGATTTGCCAATGGAATGAGTATTTTTATTCTTAAAATAAGATTATTAGATGATATGTGCTTGAAATAAGACAATGCAATTGTTTTTTCTGTTTTAAATGTAAATTGTTTGTTCCGTTGGCAATGGGTCTCACCTCCTCAATTCAACAAAAAATACACCTATTTTGAGAAAAAAACGACTTATTTAGATTAAATTTTTTTGCAGTGTGAGAATTAATGACTGAATGTAGTGTAAATTCCTTTGCTTAAGTCCTCTTACTTGAAAAAGCGCTATATAAGAACATGCCCTTTAATATTTACATTAGAAAATGAACGTCTGAAATTCAACAGCCCATTAATCACAACATTTCAGCATCGTGAGCTGGAGGCGTCATTCCACACTGCGAAAACAATGAGAATAAATGTTTTAAATTAAGTGTATTTACCCTTAATTTGAGTAGGTAATGGCCAATGGAATGAGTGTTTTTTTTACTCTCAAAATAAGATATTTAGATAAAATGCACTTGAAATAAGACAATGCAATAGTGTTTTCTTATTTTAAATGTAAATTGGCTTGTTCCATTGGCAACATGTAACTTACCATCTGCTGCTTTTGCACAGAGAAAAAAAATTAGATTTTTTTTTTTTTTCTCCTGTACAAGGAGCCTAGTCATCCTTAAGAGCGTTGCATGCACGTTAATGGGGGCAATAAGTATTCAGTGTGTAAATACTGTGTGTAAAATGCCCACTAAGAAGAGGAAGAAGGAGAAACCCCTTGCAGAGGAATGTTCTGGAGAGGAGCGAGGAGGCGAATGGATTTGAAAGCCACTAACAATTTGATGAAGCAGTTCAGTCTGTGTGTGACTATTTTTCAAGTACTCATTAGTAGATTGCAGACTGCACAACCTCAAACTAGTGTAAAACCTACAGAAGCAATCGCAAAGAACAGCCTATCAGACTGATTGCAACCTAGAAAGTTGGAGTCAATCTGTCTGATTAGTACTGATCTGTCCAACACAGGCGATGCCTTGATGCTACACTGGAAAAATATCTAGAAATAAATAAAATGTCTTAAATTAAGCGTATTTACCCTTAATTTGAGTAGGTAAATGAGATAGTTTGCCAATGGAACGAGTATTTTTACGCTTAAAATTAGGTCAGTTAGATAATATTCACTTGAAATAAGACAATGCAATTGTGTTTTCTTATTTTAGGTGTAAATTGTCTTGTTCAATTGGCATAATGTTTCTTACCTCTTCAATCCAAGAATAAATGCACTTGTTTTAAGAGAGAATTACTTATTTAGATTTGGATATTTTCCAGTTTACATGCTTTTTAATAATGTTCTGGACAATAAAGTACCAGCTGATATCCTACAGCGGTTTCATGGAGAATCTTCCTGCTAAACTCAAAAAGCCTCTGGTCACTCTTTCACCTTCAAGTAAATTCCAGCCTAAAATCAACCGCTGGCTGCAGAAAATCTGATCACTGCATCAACTAAGGCAGGTCCATGGAAATGCAATGTGGGGATGCCAGATAGAAACTTCTTCACTTGGCCAGTTAATAATCTGGAAAGAAAAATCACTATGATATGCGTTTAGTTTTTTTCATTTTCCAATACATTTATGCTTTGATGGGAAAACAATGTCCTGTACACATTTTTTTCACATCCCATAATATGAACAGAGTTCTGTTAGTTGGTCCCTTTAATGTTTAGTGACAGCAGAGTACAACTTAGCAAAGTATTGAGCTTTGACACAATTTGTCACCACCATAGATGTGTTTATTTGGTTTATCTTTGAAAGAAAATAAAAACATAGTTTTCAAATATTAAAAGTGGAGCAGTTTTTTAACCCCCAATGAAGTATATTTCAACCAGCTTCAATTAGGGGTTACATAAACCAAGCATCATTTTTATTTGTTTTATTTATTTGAATAAGGACAATGCGCATTCATCAACATGTCAGCATTAAGCATCAATGTAAATATACCAGAATTAGCACAACAGCTAATATGCATCCGCTGTCCTAAAGCAGGTAAAAACAGTGAACATTAAACAAGACGCTACAGGAGAGAACAGAGTGGACACAAACAGATAAGATGCCAATAACATAAAATCACAATAAAATGAGGTTAACAGGCCCATGGAAACAGATCAATTTACCTGTGAACACACGTCTGGTTAGTTTTAACCAATGTTTCAAGGAGAATTTAAAATGTATGTCGGTTCCACAGCCCCTAACATGAGCTGGCAGTGTGTTCCATAACTGTGCTCCTCTGTTGAATGCAACCATTTGGCCAAATTTGGTCCTACGCCACTGAACATTACAGTCTCCTCTGGTTAAAGCTCTAGTGTTGATTCTAGTTATGTTTTTTTGCTTATAAAATCTGTTAGAGTAGGAGGAGCAAGTCCATTTAAAACTTTAAAAACAAGGCATGCATCCAGAAACATCTGATGACGTTCAAAGTCTAAAATGTTGTACTTACTTAAAATGTTACAATAATGATAATGTACACGTTTTTTATCAAGAACTTTCAGAGTTTCCTTGAAGAGAGACTGTAGGGGTTTCAGAATGGCCTTTGAAGTGTGAGACCATGTGGTATGGCAGTAGTTTATATGGCTAAATATCATGGCATGCATATAGGTTTTTGCTGATTCAGAAGTCAGAGAGGGTCTTATATTCAGCGTCTGCTCTGCCGATAATGCAAGCTTAGAAGAAGAAACGTGCTGTTTACCTGTGCAAAGAAAGAAACAACGAAAGAAAAATGTCTGAGGACTTCAGTGTTGAGGAAGAGCATGAGTTCTTTGCCGAGCTGAATGCGCACTTTCATCTGGTTTGGTCTGCCGCGGTTTCCGTAGACTCGTGAACGCGCTTTTAGGAAATCCTATACACTACTGTTTATGCTCTAAAAACATTCTAAATGACTTTGTTTCGAGTAAATTATGGACGCTACCCACTCAGGACACTTGGAATACATTGGACGAGCAGTATGGAGGAATATTGACACGTTTTTTGTGGACTTTTATGGACCTTTCTGCCTCGGGCGCCATAGACCTCCATTATTTGAATGTCAGCAGACAGCAAGAAGCCTCCCAGATCTCCAGATGCATTTGAGATATCAAAAAAGTACTCCAGAGTGTTGTTCAGCATGGGGGTGAGTAGAAAATGAAGGCTAATCATGTTTTGGGTGTACTATTCCTTTAAATTCTGTAAGAAGATTTGTTGGGGAATCACATAAAATCTCAACAAAGTCAATATAAATCTTAGTAAATTGCAATGATGTAAGACAAAAAAAAGCAGGTTACTTTAAAGGATTAAATATTCTCTATTACATTATTTGATAAACACAACAGGCAACGTATAAGATGACAATATAAAGCAAAACCAATGATGTAAAGCAAAGGTTGCAGGTATATAAACAACACTGAGCTTAATATGTTTGACCTTAATGTGAGGTAGACAGCAGCAATGTATTTGAACTTTTAACTAAACTACATCATGTTAACATATATTTAAACATGCACTGTTCATTTAAATATATCCTTGTCTTTTTAATACTTATACATTTCACAGTACTGAACCATTGAATTAACATTAAGACAGTTTAGATTTATGCAGCTTCTGAGCAAAATGTAACAAACTGGTTTATCATTACATGATTGATAATCACTCTTCAAGGCAGTGTTGGTCCACTGATGCTTTAACATGCTCTTATTGGGAAGAATTAATTCAGATGCTTTGTATCGGGTGACAACACTTTAGGTAATATTAATATTACATAATTATACAAAGCTGTATATCCACTGCAAAATCTTTTTAAGGTGTTTCTGTTTTCGGTTTTTCAGCCGGAAACTTGTGGAGAAACACATGGTGTTCACAGTGTATGGAAAAATGAGATCCTGTTAAAGGGCTCATAAGCAGTTAATACAGTAATGTCGCCTTTGTTTAATACACTGGAAAAAAAATCTAAATCTAGTTAAGTAATTTTTTCTTAAAATAAGTGCATTTATTCTTAGGTCGAGGAGGTAAAACAAACATTTTGCCAATGCAACACACTGCAAAAACGATCTAGAAATAAGTCAAATTTTCTTAAATTAAGCGACATTCACTCTGAATTTGAGTAGGTAAATGATATAGTTTGCTAATGGAATGAGTAATTTTACTCTTAAAATACGATAATTAGATAATATGCACTTGAATAGATTTACATTTTTTACAGTGCAAGTCGATTCACATTTAAATTAAGAAACCACAATTGCATTGTCTTATTTCAAGTGCATTTTATCTAAATATCTTATCTTAAGAGTAAAAATACTCTTTCTATAGGCAAATTATCTCATTTACCTACTGAAATTAAGGGTAAATATACGCAATTTAAGACATTTTTACTTATTTCTAGTTTGTTTTTCCAGTGTATAAATTAAGATGACTGTGAGCAGTGGGTAGCACTGATGTCTTACAGCAAGAAGGTTCTGGGTTTGCATGTTCTCCCTGTGCATGCGTGGGTTCTCCCCAGGTACCCCGGCCTCTTCCCACAGTCCAAGAACATGACTGTTAGGTTGATTGGCTTCTCTAAATTCTCCTTAGGTGTGTGTGAATAGTTATTTGTCCTGTTTGTCTCTGTGTGTCCCTGCATTGGACTGGAGATCTGTCCAGGGTGGACCTCGCTGGTAGACGTCTGATGGATGGATGTATGTGCTAATGGCTTTATTTAATATGGGCCAAAACCAAACCCAACATCATTCTGAAGGACATTGCTGTGATTTATGTAAATGCAATTTGAATGACTTTTAAACCATCATCCTGTTTGCATTTGGGGCTTTTTTTACACTGCAAAAACAATCTAGAAGTAAGTAAAAATTTCTTAAATTAAGTGCATTTACCTTTAATTTGAGTATATAAATAAAATGATGAGATTATAATAAGATAATTAGGTACTCTAAATTGTTTTTTCCGATTTTAAATGTAAATTGTCTTCTTCCATTGAAAAAGTGTCTCACCACCTCCTCAATTCAAGAAAAATTCACTTATTTTAAGAAAAAAATGACATATAGCTTTCTATTTTTTGAGGTGCAAAAATTGGATGAATATTTTTGGAGGAAGTGGAAATGGTTAACCACCAACAATCTACCTGTCTGAAAGCTGTAACGAGAACAGTAACTGCTCAACAGTTTTTGCTTAAACCGGCACTTTTTATACCACATAAAGATACCTTGGATAAATTTATATGTTTTGTTTTTTTTAAATCTCAAACATCACCACATACTTCCTCTATTTCCCGTAATAATACTCAGCTTTTGTGTAAAAGCATAAGACTCTGTGGATGTCATCTCTGATGTTGGCTCTTTACAGATGACTTTTTCAAGTTTTCAGTTCTTATTAGCTGAATATCTCATGAAGACACCAGGAGAGTTATCTACTACTAATGCTTATAGCCTTCCAGAATTATTCCTTTAATTGTGAGTTGATTTCCAGTCCGTATCAATCTTTGAGGTCAGCAAGGTCCGAGTCAGGATACGTGTTTCCACTGTTTATTCAAGAAAAAGACAGATAAGCATTTAGTTAAGTCATTTTTTGCAGTAACTTCAAACCTTCAATTTTCGAGACAAACCTTTTAAGGTTATCGCTCCCAATGCTCCACATCTGTCCGAATACTAATGCTATTTCCATAAATGGTTTGCAGGTCGTCCCAAAGCCTGACAACCACAACATGAAAATAAATAAAAGAAACAAATTAAATTTGAAATCTACTCCCGCTCTTTGTCACGTTTTATGTTAAATCAGAATGAATCGTTACTGTCTGGCTGAAATACCAGCCAGAAAGTACATTTCTTTTCTATTGTCTGAATTCCAGAATCATCTAGAATATTTTAGAGTTTTTTGTCCATCGTTATATTGAAGAGTTTACATAAAGGCTTCAAGCTTTATGGCTTGAGTCAAAAGTTGTTTTTTATTTTTACTTTCCATAAGCTCTCACATAAAAAGTGTTCCGGATCATTCCTCCAGACAGGACTACTGTAACCCAGTCAGGATTGTTGGCCAGTTTCAGCTCTTCCTGGCAAATCTTTGATACGAATCTACATGCCACATGCAAAGCAAAAAACTAATAGTGTTCTGATTTGATCTGTTTTCCTATCCCTGTCTTTTTAACAACTGAAATCCACTTTACCTTTTGGCAAGCAAGAGGCTGAGCTGGATGGGCAGGAGGAGCAGAGTCAGCGTGTAACAGATGACTCTTATGGGGAGGAAGTCAGTAAGGCTGTGAGTCCACTGGCTGCCATTGTGGTGGTTATACCGGCACGCCTCACACAGCACTAGTCATAAAATATTTGAAGTGCAGTGTCATTATATGTCATCAGTCCAGTTCATGCTCTTCAGAGTAGTAGTTTAGTTAAGTAAGACGTTAAATTTTAGAGTATACTTGCTTGTATCCTTACCTTTCTTAATATTGGAGGGAAGGTTGTTGTTGACTTTGTGGTTGAGCCATATCTGAGGTTTTCTTCCATCACATTGCAGCTTCCTCCTCAGCCTCTCCTCCCCTGCAGCCTGCTCTTCCCCAGGCTCCCAACAAGGAGGTTTGGTCCCGTCTTTCCAACTTGCTACGCTCACAATGCTGTACTTCTCACTGAGCAGATCTAAGTTCATAGATCATTGGTTTATGACATGCTTAACTCCTGATACTTCAGAGGGCAACAAAAACTAAATCTGAAGACTTGGTAGCAATGAGGATGGAAGTGGAAACGCTCACCTCTTTCTTTCAGGAAACCAAGGGCATCCATGTAGCCATTGTGGCAGATCTCTGCAAGTGTCTGGTCAACACAAACACAAAGTAAAGCTGAACTTTACATTTTCAGAATAAGATTAATTTAATAAAGCAACATTTTCATTAAGGCGGATGTCAAATCATGATCACCTTCCACTAGTTTGACTGAAACCTTCATTTCTGCTCTTCTGACAGATTAATATAGAAACAAATTGTCCTCCAAATCATATTTCCACTCACCTCCAGCGAAGGAGGAAGGAACGATGTGCATACACGATAGACGTTGCCGGTGTTAACCTGAATGCTAACATTGCTGTAGCTGGCCTCGAAAAAGTTGAATGTACCCTCCCTGGGGCAGATGTCGCTCTCTCCTGAGAAGGGGGCCATGGTGATGGTGTTCCTGTGCTCAAACATAGGCATGTTGTTGCTCAGGGCTCCATCCACATAGTGCTGAGAAAGAGGAACAAGCATTCATGTAAATGACGAGTAACAAAGCTTCTTTCAAATTATCCTTTGGTTTCCTAATATACGCTCTTGTAGAAAAATGTTGGTACCCTTCATTTAATGGGGAGTGTTGGCCTAGTGGGTTAGAGCAGTGTGCTTGTGTTCTAAGAAGGTTGCAAGTACCTGGTTCAAACCCCACAACCAGGGGCGGAGCTAGATGGGGGGCAAGGGATGGCCATCATTGGCCCTCCCTGTTGCCATTCCTACCATTTTTCCCCCTCTAATACAGATGGTGGCAGCAGTAATAGTGGAATACTCAGAATATTAAAAATCTTCATATATTAACAATTACTTGTTAATTAAGCACATCAATAAAGTAACATTAAAGATGATAAATACAGAATTCATGCTTTTTACAGAACTAGATTTTGTTATTTAGGTAAAGAGAAAATTATGTGTCTCTACAAGGAGTCTTCGGTGAAATCCTAGATAACTATTTTAATACAAACTTAATAAATAATCAATTTATATAGATATTAGTACTTGTAAATATCAATTTTATGCAGAATGATTATTGAAAAAAGTAGGTAAGTAATGACAATTGAAAAGATGTTCGCCCCAGAACTCAAACCTGAAACAATTCTTTCCACTATACCTTTTATCTAGAAAGCACGGATGTTTAAATATATGCATCTGTTTGATGGGAAAGGCTTAAGGAAAGGATAGTTTGTCTTTATTTAGAAAACCTGGATGTTTTGCTCATTAATTTTCCTGTTGGAACAGTGTAGATTGACCATGAGGTCAATGGCGCCGATTAACTTTCAGCCCCCCCTCAGTGTACACTGGTTATTGTCTGGTCACCCTTATAAAAATGTTCTGGCTATACCTCTGCCCACAGCTTCCACTCTGGGTCTCTGAGCAAGACCCTTAACTCCACACTGCTTCCCGTGCGCCACACAACGGCAGCCAACTGCTCCCCAAGGGGAGGGGTTAAATGCAGAGAGGGAATTTCACCCATCGTGGGGCAATAAAGGGATTTGCATTACATTAACAAAAAAGAAAGTTTCACATAAAGTAATAATACATTTAAAAAAATATGAAAACAAAGAAATGACAGCCAGACATGTGTTTTTTGTCATACTAAAATAGAATGATTTTTAAAAAGAAGCTCATGAAACAGCCCTGAACAAAACTGATGGTCAAAATAGAACAGAATGAAAATAATGTAACCAAAGGGACATAATAAATAAAGGTTTCCACTAATCAGCATCACAGGTTTCGACAATCCTGGATTCAGTAGAGATACACCGATCCAGTTTTTATTTTGTTCCAATCCGATACCAGCATATTAGCTGATATCCATACATACAGATCCAATGCAAGTGTTTAATGATTGAACCTTTTATCTTGTCATGTGAGTGAAGGCTTTAGCCTTGACATAAACATTGTTAAAATAATGTAACAAAACAAATATGCATATACTTTATATCATTTATTAACAAATAAGCAGCAAAAAAGTAAGGAATAACAGTTTTATGCAAAGTGCACTGAATTGAATCTGATATCCGGTATCAAATTACCAAAATCCAATCCAGCTAATTAGTTAATATCGGAGGCGATATCCAATGGTGGAAGGGAAGTGCAAAACAATATTAGATTGACCTAGGACACCTATAGGTGTTTCGGTAAAACACTTTTACATGTTTAACAAAACATTTTATGCAAATGTAACAAAACAAAGAGACACTAAGTTAAGTGATACCGTGGGTGTGGGGTGTGGCAACTACAAACAGGTGACCAGTAGCAATTGAAGGAACCAGCAGTACAGCCTACTTAGCAGACATGTTTTGCCCATCTGGATAGCTTACTTCCAAGTTTTAGGGCGATATCGTGGACATTGCTTGGACTTTCTTGCCAATATGGAAGGAGAAGAGGCCAGCTTTATGACTGCCTTATCAAAAATTGCAATGAACGCCACACAGCCAGTGTGATAGTTGATATGATGGAAAGGCTACACAGTTCATATCCTTGGCTTTTTTACTCTACTCCATCCAATTGTTCTCTGGCTGTCAGAGGTGTGTGTGTGTCAACTATTGATTGCTTTTTTTTTCCACAAGTATTTAGTTCAATAGTTTTATATTGAGGTAATAGTTTCATTATAGAGAGGGTTATTGTTTTATGTTAGTTGGGGTTAAAAAATTTTAAAACTAATGTACTGCCTTAAATACTTTCATTTTCATGTTTGTTGTATTTTTAACTTTACAGGAACAAGACAAAGCAACTAAAACATTTTACGGCTCAACCATTTATTGCAGGAAATAGAGTGAAGCCCTATTTGGTCATGTCTAATCATGGAACTTTGGCAGACTAATACAGATAAAGACGTGTGATTCTCAATCAAATGCGCCTCGTCTGCTTTACCCCAGCTGTAGAACCAGACCACAAAGATATCATTTCTATATCGCACAACATATTAATAAGATATCAAAAGCATCATGCAGACTACTTCAACTACCTCTCAACCAGGAGTTTGCTGTCTGTTTAAATTTTATATTTTGATAAAGCTTATAGTTAGAGTGGCTCAGGTTATCCTGAGCTATCTCTATAGTTATGCTACTATAGGCTTAGACTGCTGGAGGACATAGGGACCACTTTTCATCATTCTATCTCTATTCATTAGTTCAATCTCTGACGTTATGCTCCCTGTTTGGCTGTGACTCCATCCTGGAGAGAAATATCAGCTGTGCTGCTGCCATCAACACCTTTGTTTCTAGAAGTTGGAGCTTGGCCTGTTTTTCAGTGTAGTCCTGTTTCTGTGAATTGTCTCTGTAAAGTGCCTTGAGGTGACATGTGTTGTTTAACTGGCGCTATATAAATAAACTGAATTGAATTAAAATTAGGGCAGGGTCACACTTGGCATAATTGGTTTAATTATGTTTCAGCTTACTGTTAAAAGTCCAGTACAACTGGCCTCCGGTCACACTTGCAAAGTATGTATTCTTATAGAATTACTAGCGACCATATGTAATAAATAAATCCCTTCCCCCCATTACCCTATTCCCTCCTCTTCAACAAACTCATATATTTCATGTCTTTTTCTCCTGGGAGTTTTCTCTTTGCGTGTGGGTCAGACCTCATTAACAAAACCATGATAGTGTTTAGTCAAACTTCTAAAAGTATTTTGTCAAACATGTCAAAGGTATTTCGGTAAGATTGTAAGGGTTTTGTCCAAAAAAAGGCTTTTGTGATGTGAAAAAGTGTGTTTTAGAACTTGTAAAAGTGTTTGTCAATCATTCAAAAATGTTTCAGTAAGTCTGTAAAACAGCTTTGTGAAAATTTAAGATCCATGGTACTGTAGTCCACCTCCCTGAACGTGGCTGCAGGAGGAAAAACTGATGATCAATTAAAGAGACTGATACTAGGAACCAAAGAGCCCTGAGAAACTCCTGAAGAGATTAAAGGTGAACTTCAAGCCCAAGTGGACTTATTTGGAGAAAATCAAGGGGGGACACCATTGATGGAAACAAATAATAAAAAAGTCAGACTGGAATTTACTAAACTACATGGTGACAAGCTACAAAGTTTCTGGGAGAATGTCCTTTGGACAGATAAGACAAAAACCAAGACACATCAGCTCAATGAACAAAAAATGAAACATATCAAGAAAAGAACAATGTCCCTACTGTGAAGCATGGAGGAAGCTCTGTTATGTTCTGGGGCTTCTTTGCTT